GAATTGATCATTCACGTTTGTCAAATCAGCTAATCGACTTACGTGATTGGTCAATTCCTCGAGATCAGCGGCCTGCAACTTGCGTCTGCGTCTTATGTACATAGACCTTTAGTCAATTGACTAATTTGACTAACGTGACTGATCAATTTCGCGAGACTTGCGACTTGCGACTTGCAACTGCGTCTTAAGGCCATTCTACGTAAGATGCAGACGCAAGTCGCAGACCGCTGATCTCGCGGAATTGACCATTTACGTATGTCAAATCAGCCAATCGACTTACGTGATTGGTCAATTCCTTAAGATCTGCTACTTGCGTCTGCGTTTTATGTAGAATGGCCTTTATGTAGATAGACTTTAATGTCACAGCATTACTGAGATCACGCAAGAAAAATAACACTAATCCAACAGAACGGCCAGCAAGTTTCATTATTTCCAATAAAACAGCCAGCAGCGTAGCCAGCACAGAAACATGCAAGCAATCGAGCAAGTAAAACAGCATCATGTACCGCTAGTCAAATTAGTCAACTAACATGATTGGTCACTTCCGCGAGATCTACAATCGCTGTAGATAGGCTCTTATCCTAGATATATATACTGGAAGGGACATAGCTAACTTGCCGTTGTCTTCAACATCTATCTATCTTTGTCTGTACATGATACCGCAATACGCATGCGTTGATTATGTTGTATGTATGACAAGCAGCGTTCACAGTTTTGGCTTCCTTACAGCATGCTAAAACGGTGGAAGGGATGCGCACAACAGCAGCGAGTTTATGCAATTAGAACTCGCTACTATTGTGCGCATTTTCTCTACCTCTTTAGCATGCTGTAAGGAAGCTAAAACTGTGAACACTGATGACAAGATAGAACATATAGCAAGTTATATATGTGAAGGATATATCTTCACATATATACTCTCACATACTCATATATACCTTCTTAAGCTGCGTTCCGTTTCACGCATTTGCGCGTATTTATCTATCTATACGTGACGTGTACTACAGATAAATGCGCACATATGCGTGAAACGGAACGCACTCTTAGTCGGTTATTTTCTCATGCAAGCACATTAACAGATTTCATGCAGACAAGGATAAATAGATGTTGAGGACATTTTTGTTACGTACGTCAGATAGGCCATGCCCCTTCCAGTATATATGTTCTAAAAGATAGGCCTTAGCCAGCTCGGCAGCCAGCATGCGAAAAATCCAGCAGGCAAAAAAGCATCGTGTGCCGCTGGCTTAATACAAGTAATTTTTATGGCGCCAAATTTTTGTTATTAGCGGAACCACAAGTCACATTCTCATTTTGTATGTGTAAGCTGATTGGCTATTCAGTAGGTTTGTTCTTTTTACTTGCATCGCCTGCATTAGTTCAGAGTTTATCTTTTTTACTTCACATTAGAAGGAATATCTAGTATTCTTATAGGAACTATTAGTATTCTTATTATTTCTTTTCCACTGGGATTTGTGGCTGTCAAAGTGATTACGAAGCTAATTTTATCGAAGATCTGTATAAGATCGAGAGAGCTATCAAGGATTAGATAGATTGACGACCCAGCAGATGAAGCTATCGAGAATACCATTTTTAGAGAACACCAATTAATAAAGAGTTTAGGCTTTTAAGTTTCAAATTAACGCGGAATTTAAACGGTTATGAGAGCGGCTTTACGCTGCATGTTTGTTGCCGAATATATGTAGGTATATGTTTCTTTTGTGTAACTTTTTTACACATGAGTTTGAATTGGAATTTTAATTTTTAAATTCATATAGAATGCTATACTTGCATCACATATACAAGAAACCTTCGTTTATCCCCCTATCTAATTTTAAAATATTGCGAAAGAAACACCTCAATCAGGAATCGAACCAAGAATCTCCAGCTTATTTTCAAAATTTCTTGATATACGAATATTGCGAGACAAACATCAAGTACTTCGGTGGCCAAATTGAGAAGGCGATGGCACGGAAAGCCGGAGATACCAAGTTCGATACTTTTGGCCGAGGTTTTTTCGTAATATTTTAAAAATTAGATAAAGGGATAAACGGGGATTTCTCTCATATACGTGATGCAAGTATAGCATCTTATACGAAGTTAAGAATTAAAATTTTACTTCAAATTTATGTGTAAAAAATTTATACAAAAAGAAACAAATATATATTCCGCAACAAACATCCAGAGTAAGACTCTTACGACCGTTTAGATTTTACGTTGTTAGTTTAATACGATGTTTTTCAAAGGCTGACGGTCTTGCGAGAATTTGTGACACGAAAAGCGAGTCTAATACAACTGATTTTGACAGACATTAGGTCAGCGGGTCTTGATGTAAATACAGGTGATCGACAATACAGTCTTGAGGTTGCGAGCGATAACATTGCAAAAACTACACGACTCAAGTAAATAATGCGTGAGAAAATAGCGAAAAGTCGTCGTTTTGTTTTTTCGGCGATGGTGCAAACGACTTATAAGAAGAGGCTCAGACGTTTGAATTACTAATTTGCTTCACATGCACATTGATAGGGGATCACGAATACAATTTCATATTCAAGCAAAGTGCAATGGCTCAAGCACTCGCGCGAAAATGCATCCCAACTTTATACATATTTTACTACACATGTATATTTATCTTTTTTTATAAAGTAATTATTTAAACACGTATTTATAGGTCCATTTTGATTAGTTATTAAAATAACAAAAAAATATACCTTTATGTATAAATAAAATATAATAATATTTTAAATGAAAATATATATGATAAATTCGAGATAGATTTACTCGCGAATGCTTGAGAAGTACACTTTGCTTCTTGAAGTAAGGGAAGTGCAATTTCTACCCCGGAGATGGAGTTTGAAAATTGCAAACTGTGTATTTTGCGAGCTCCTAAATCAACAAACAGTATTTGCGTAAGAACGAAGCGGTTTCTTTTATTTTTCGAGTATTTCTTTTATTTTTTCTTTATAATGAAAGAATTTTGTTTTAAAGTAAAAATACTTTAAAGTGGCTTTGCGCACAAGAGACCGGAACTCAAAAATCTAAATTGTGGCTAAAAGCTCGTATATCGCTCGTAATTTTTGCGCAAAGAACAATTCGATATCTGCAATTTTAAATAGTGGAGAGCGCAGTCGATACAGCCCTTTCACCAAAAAATTAAATTTGACTTCGGAAACGAGCTTAATCTCTTCGTTACGATGTACCTGTGTGCAAGTGTGCTTTCTCTATACGGTAAAGTCTGCCGCAAATATCTATTTTGTAGATAAAGTGAAATATGTGAAGTCTTATAAAATAATTGTCTCTATGTTAATAATTGTTTAAGTGCTAATTAAAAACGAATTGGTATAAAATACCGAACGTCGACTTTAGTCAGCGCTAGGATCGAAAAAGTAAAGAATTTTAATCTGATGGGTTCGAAAGCTCATAAATAGCTCTAATAATTCTGAAATAAGATAATCATTTTTATTTGATTCGGATAAGATTCGGATAGAGGATAGAAAGAGAGAGCTAGTTAGCGTTAGTTTTAGCGGAGTAGGTTTGAGAAAGTGAATGGTAATAGGAATAAGCCAATCAACTTAAAAAAATTGTATTTTGTAATATTATAGGTCTTTTATATCATTAAGCTATTTTGTTTCAATAGTCTTTTATAAAAATTAAAAGAAAAAATTAATAATATTATTTAAAATATAAAACCACAACAAACATATTTAAAACTAAACAAGTAGGCTTAATTAACATTGTATTTCAAGTTTGAAAAGCAAAAATTGCAATTAAAAATCTTATTTATAATTAGAAATCTTATAAATTTGAAATATTTAGAATGTGTATTGTGTAGAATGTATATTATGAATTTATTTGATCTAATAAAGTTTTGTTTAAATAAAGTATGTATTAAAATATTAACAGTTACTATGCCTGATATTTGATGCTTTCGCGGTGTGTTGTATTAACATTCAAAGATGTTTATCGGGTTTAAACCGCGTTGCCATTTTTATATCGACGTTTCGTGAACATTTCAGCTCACTTCATGAGGGTTTCTAGAGCAGCCTGATACTATCAGGCTATGTACTATCAGGCTATATTAACATTCGAAGATGTTTTTTAGGTTTGAACCGTATTAGTGTCATTTTTATACCGACGTTTTGTATGATACTATCAGGATGTATCAGACTGCTCTTGAAGCCTTGATGAAATGAGCTGAAATGTTCACGAAACCTCGGTATAAAAATAACACTAACGTGGTTTAAATCCGAAAAACATCTTTGAATGTTAATTTATTATGCCTAATGACCTGTATTGTTCAGTCAATGTTGTATTACAAAATAACACTTTTTTAGGTAAATAAATTTAAAATATTATATTATGTGATATTATTACTAGTAATAATACAACCAATGTATTATCTAAATACTTATGTTCTGCGTTTTAACATCCAATGTACAACTGAAGAAGACTTGAATAAATAAGTCGAAACGTTTTGTTTAAAACGAAAAAGAGAGTAAAAGAAGTTCTCTTTAAACAAATTCCTGCCAAACACCCAACAACGGTTTGCATTAGCTGATCATTTCAACACGTCTTTTGGAATTAAAATATTATGTTATTAAAGTTACAATAAGATTGTAGAACTACTACTATATAATATATTCTGAAGCGTGTATATTACAGATTAAGATTGAGATTAGATTGGAATTTGATCAAACAGGACAAAGTTTACTAAATTTGAGATTTGCTTTTTTATTCTTAGTGACTAAATTAAATAGAATAACTGAATTATATAAGTAATTATTTAATTTAATCTCAATTTTAACTTGTAGTTTGATACAGACTTAACAGCTTCAAAAAGCTTCTTTTTACATTATTACTTTTTATTATTATATTTTGAAAATTTTTACTTTTTCAATAAAACTACTTGTTTCTTTTTTGTAATTTTTTAGTTTTGCTAACTGTTTTTTCTTTGTTTCTGTAGAACAAAACGTTTATAAGAAATGTTATTAAACATTTGTTTACAGAACTACCAGAAAAGGCCATTATGCTGCCGCCATTTGTCGATAGTACACATTGCTTATCCTATAATTTGACGAGGAAAGGCAGAAATGTGGCGGATAGAATTGTATCGGTACTAGGATATGCTTGTCCTGATATTACTTACAGTCCAACTCTTTATCCGTTAACTGCGCTTCTGCTGCATTTTGTGCCAGGTATGCTACATCAGCAATATATAAATAAAATAAGGTTAGCAATAATACAGTACGAAGTACATAACTCTCTCTATGTACTTTGGTAAGATTATATATTTATTTTTAGAACATAGAGATGTAACAAAAGAAAACATTTTTTTATATAAAAATATTTAATGCAAAAAAACTTGGCGCGGCTGCATCAGACTGACGCACAAAGAAATAATTTTATTATAGTTATAGAAAAGAGAGCAGCGCGCTAAGTTTTTTTTGAATTAAATATTTTGTATATTCAAAAAAATTTTTTCTCTTGTTACATCTCTATGTTCTATTGTAATAAATATAATCTTACCAAAGTACTACATAGTTATGTACTTAAAATTAGTTATTAATAATCACGGAAAAAAAAGTTAAAGCGTAGTCTTATTATAGACACAATTATGTTATTGTATATTGTTTTTTAACAATGAAACAAGGTTTTAGAGAAAGAATGTTTTGTAGTATAATATGTATACACAGAGAGAAAGGTTTCTTTAAATTTAATAATCCGATTTGTTTGATTCATATTTGTTGCATTTAAACAACATAATTTTATACCAAACAACAATTTTGTTGAATGAAAATTATATTGTTACGTTAAAATAAATCAAATTATTTGACGGAAACAATACAAATGTTTGAAATAATTTATTCCAACAAAATAATATTTTATTTGGTTTTAATAAGCATTATTTAATGAAAAAAATCATTTTGTAACATATAAGTATAACATAAAATATATTTGATTTAAATATAGCATTGAGACAAAAAATTTCGCGTTGTAAAAATGTACTTTAAATTTTAAGAATAATAAATAATTAATAATAATTCTCCGATATATTATTCTCTCTCGGTCTACCGACGGACGCGATCACGAAATAATCTTTTCTTTATTTGTAAACCTGTTTTTTTAATTATATTTGAAAACCTTAGACTCAAGAATAAATCTGTTCTTTCTTTAAAATTTATATTCCGCGTCGTTTATTCAGTTTTCCCGTATTCCCTCCTGACCGTGACATAATATCCCGCCCCTCTCCGTTCGGATCAAAAAGAGCTAGTCGGCCTGAATTCCGACGACGGGACGTCTTGAAAATTGGTGTGCGAATTGCGGGCCTGGCGCCCGAATTACATATTTAAGAAACCAGACTACCCCGAGGATTCAGAATATTTCCGGGCTGACCTGGACGGTGACAGCGGTCACGCCGGGGACGAGCCGTTTTTCTTATTGCAGCCGTTTAGAGGAAAAAAATTGTTGCAATACATCTTACATACATATTACATACATTATTCAGACTCAATGATGAATCACTGACTCAATAATTTGGCTGCAGAATAAATTACTAGACAAGTACTGAAGCTCTATGATGAATTATTGACTCAATGATTTAGCTGTGACAAAAATTAATGGCACATGTATAATAATAAGAGAATTATTTTTATCCATTCACTGGTCGATCGGCGAAATAAATCAGGTCTTCAAAGATTAATTTGAGTGAAATCTCGAATTAATTCCCTTTTCAAAAGGCGATGTGTTATTGGTACTTGTTTTCTTTTAGTAAGGAATTCTACTTGGATTCTAGATAGAATTTTTTTTAGATTTTAAATTGCAAAGCGTTACACTTCTAATTGGAATCGATATAGAATTTCCACGGAGCATCCAATATATTTTAGGAAAATCTAACTGATTTCCGAATAAATCCCAAACTAATTTCTATGCGAGCACTAACAGTAATTTATTCAGTAATTCACTATCAGTAATAAGTCCTCAGTAATTATCCAATAATTTTCAGTAATTTGCTAAATTATTACTGGATTATAGACTAGTAATTCATTACTCAATTTAGTTTAGTATAAGTAATAAATTTCTTTTACAAGTAATACATTTCTGTAAGGGATCTATAAAGATAGGAGGAGATTTGATTTATTGAGTTTTTGCTGATGTGCTATTATTCTCGACGTCTATCTCTTGAGCTTCCTCGTCATTCAATGTTTCATAAATGTTGCTTGTGCTTGTTGGTTTATTTAGCTAATAGTCTTTAATCTGGGTTTGTCGTTTTTCAATAGGTGTATCTAGACTGTTTCTTAATCTTTTTTTATTTTGTGCTTTTTGTCATTTTAATATTCGGGATGTTGTGTCTTGTTCTTGATATTCTTGATTGAGTTGGTCCTCCATAGTTAAGAATTGATGATACATAAAACCCGCTCTACGGTGGCGCTCCTCGGTCCTTTCTGGGTAAAATGCGCCTGCGCGGCTCCTGCCGCCTGTCCGCCATATGTAATACTAATATCAGTTCGGTTCGGTTTTAGCGGTATAGCGGTTAAGGGGCCATTAATACCCATACGCCATTCAGTAAAGCTTGAATCAAGAAAAAGTAAACGTTAGTATGAATGGTAGAATAAAACTGAGACAACTAGTGAAGTCGCAGAGAGCCATGCGTGCGAGAAAGTTACAAGGCGGAGAAAAGCACAGAGGAGGAGCGAAGTTCGAGCATATAAAGGCAGAGTCAGGAAGGCAAAGAAAGGTGAAGGGTCATAAGTGTATATGAGCCTCCACAACAAATTTGTATGAGGCTCTGTATATATCGACATTGTCCGAGAAAGCCAAATTCACAATGTTAAGGTCACAGGTTGTATCGATGTGACGGAGCCTGTTGATTAAGGCATTGGAGCTGTCCAGGTGAGTAGAAAAAGTGGAAAAAGATGTGGTTCGCATCCTGCAGACGATGTCCGCAATCACAGCACGGAGAAGCCACAATGCCCTTAGAGGCCAATAAGGCGCGTGTGCAAACGTGTCCGGTACGCAATCTAGAGATGAACTTAATGTTGGGGGCAGATAAAGTGCCACGGAAATCCAAGTATCAAAGTGGTGAAAGAATGTTTTTTTTCTTATTAATATAGGCGATTTTCTTGAAAGTACCGTCGGATAAAATTTTTCTCACTGACTCCGCGCAAACTGCAGCGCGGAAGCGCGAGTATAGATTCCAATAATGACACTTGACTGTGAGAAATGGATCCGAGAAAAGCAGCGCGCGTTTAGCGGCGCGGTTCGCAACTTCATTTTTCTTGATACTGTTATGGCTAGGTATTTATACGAAACGAATCTTCAAGTTTCTAGATAAACACTCTTTGTACAATGTTTTGATATCGTAGATGCACGGCGCATGACTTCCGTTTGGGTCCTGGTTCCTCAGGCAGGTAAGGACGCTGAGAGAGTCCGAAGCGATAATGGCGTCGGTCCACAGATGATCTAGGGCAAAGTCCGTTGTACAGTCCGTGTAATAGCAGTAGTTTCAGCCTCGAAAATAGTAGAATGATTGTTAATGCGTTTGCCCAAAATATACTGGAGATTTAATGATGCAAGAGCGTAGGAGGTTTGCTCGGTCACGCCGTAGCATTTTTTGGATCCGTCGGTGTAGAGAACATAGGAGGCATCCGAGTTTAATATAAATCCATTCTAAGAGCCAGCAGGATCATCGGAGCTGCGCACAATAGGCCGCACTCGATGTCCATAGGGATCTCGAGGAATCGGACAGAGAAAGGATAGTTGAGGTATCCGGGAAGAGAGAAAGTTTCAGCCTGTTGAAGAAAAACTTTAAGAGTGAAAAAATAGAGAACGTGGCTCAGTTTGTCCCTCTGGCCATCAGCAAATAATCGGACAGAGCGAGAGAAAGCGCTCTGAAGCGGATGATTATGCCGGGCAAAAGTCTTTCATATAAATCTCTTAACGAGATGGCGAAAGCGACAAGCCAGAGGAAGTTCGCCATTAATTTCGAGTAGAACGTTGGTGGGCGTTGTGCACATAAAAGCAAGAGGGATACGAAGGCATGCGAACTGCAGCCTATCCAGCTTGCTCTGCTCAGAGCCTGAAGATGGAGAAAATATCTGTGAGCTCCGACTTGACAAAGCCTTTGTACACATTGAGAAGCAAAGAAGGATGCCTTTGTACACATTGAGAAGCAAAAAGGAACTCCCCATTTGATGCCGGCGAATGCCTTCATAACATTAATACGAGGCTGGACACGCCTGCGAATAGAATCCATGTGAGTTTTTCAAGTTAAGTTGGCATCGAGAATCACTCCCCGAAATCTGGGCGTCCAGTTGAGTTCCAAAGGTGTATTGTCGATGCACACCACGATCCCCCGCTCTCGAAGGAGAACGCGAAGATAGCGCGACTTAAGAATCGAGAAAAAAGTATAACATTTCTCGGAAGAGACTCTCAGACCAAGGTCCGAGAGACAGGCACGTAGACTCTCGAGCGCACACACGCTCCAACTGTCCAGCAATATAATCTAAAGTTTTGTGAGAACAGTAAATAGCAATATCGTCGGCATACATAACAATGTGTACGGGTGCCGATAAACATTTATCAACAAAGGAGAGATAAATGTTAAACAACAGTTGGCTCAAAATTGAGCCCTGCGGAAGACCATGCGAAGTCGAGATTGGATGGGGACCCCAAAAAAGAACCCCTGCAAAAAACGAAAGTCAATGACAGAAGCAATGAAGCTAATAACTTTATTAGGGAGACGACACTTATTAAGAATATGTAGAAGAATGCTCGGAATGACATTATTGAAAGCACCGACGAGGTCCGAAAAGACGACTCCCGTCGCAAGACCGTCAAGGTTAGCTAATCTTATATGCGACACGAGAGTGGCAATGTTATCAGTACAGGATAAATAAACCCTTGCGAAAATTAAACTGGTAGATTGGTACAACTCGATTGCTCTCAGCCCACCACTCAAGCTTCCGGTAGATGATTCTCTCTAAAATTTTAAATAAATTATTGGCGAGTGATATGGGACGTAAAACGCCCTTCTTCTCCGGTTTGGGGATGAACACGACGAAGTAGTTGCGCCACTATCGAGCGGCCGGTCGAACAGAAGTGAAGGCTCGAACAGTATCCCTCGCAGTGTTGAGGTCGGAGGCAGCGGAAAACGAGGAACAGAACTCGCGAAATGCCTCTTTTGCGGCGTCGAATGAAGTGATTGGTCTCTCCTATAGCATCGAGATAATCCTGAAAAGAGGCAAGAGAAAGCCGTGACTTAAATAACCGAAACAAACGTCGTTTGTTCTGTATGATCTGCGT